TCTAAAGTAGTCTTATGAGGTTGGCTTGCAAGTTTAGCATGGTATATTGAATTTTTATTGTAGTTGTCCATTTCTTCTTTGGCGGGCCAGACAAGTGGGGAAGCTTTCATGGCTGATGTGTGAAATTTAATGAGTATTTTATTATATCAAAAATTGTAAAAGAGGGAAAGCTGCTTAGTGGGTAGCGAATTGAGTAGGGATTTTTGGAATCATGTTGATTAATAATTAGAGGCATACAGTGTGTGAAATTTGGCTGAAATGAACAATTGTTTGTAGGAAAAAGGGTCTAAATAATTCTTGGCTTTGCATTCACTGGTGCCAGGTCAATAACTGAGGTAAGTGGCATTACCCTTTCTAGAAATGCTGGAAAAATAAATTATTCTTTCACTTGTTATTGTGAAATTAATTTATTTGAAATCTAAGTATTTTTTTTACTATTTCCTTGTGGTATTTCTTTTGGAATGCATTTATTTATTTATGTGTATATTTATTTATCATTTTCTTTCTTTAAATAAATGCGGATTAAGCATGTTGGTTGTCAACTATTTGAGATGAGGGGATTTGATAGTTTTGTGATATAGAGACTTTGGAATTGAAAATTTATTTGAAATTAAGGTAACTTGTTTTGCATAGAATCGTCGGGAATCATTTTAGACTATCGTGCCGTAATAGATTATCGAACGGTAAACCGTGTTAGACTATCGAACGGGAAACTGAGTTAGATCATTGAACAGTTCATTGTTTTATTTATTTATTTTGTCGTAATAGAGTATCGAACGACCAGTTGATATTCATGTGCCATAGCCATGTGGGATTGAGAAATTGTTTTACTGATGAATTTTCTTTATATTTGTTTCATCCAATATAATCTCATTACTTATTTTATGTCACTTTTTGATTAAGATAATTATGCTTGGTCGTACTAGTTGGGTATGCTACTTATTGGGCATGTGGAGCTCACCTTGTTTTATTTAATGTTTTCAAATAATAAACATGGAGCATCTGGGAGACAGGGGAAATAGAGAGCCACCTTAGAAATAGACTATTTAGTTCTTTCCAATTATGCTTAGCATTCATGGACATTTGAAATAAAGAGATTTTAATTTAGTGCTAGTTAAACTTCAGATTCTTGGTGTAGAATTGACTTTAGATGATGGAGTATTATTATCATATATATATATATTTTCTATTAATTTTCTTAAAAGTGAAGAATAAATTTTATGCAAAGCTGCAGGGATGAATTTTAGAGACTGATTTAGCCTTACATGCTTTTGGGGTCACTCCTAAAGGTATGTGGCATTGTCATGTCCTAACCCCTAAGTTGGGGCGTGACACTAATAAACACTAATCTCAAAAGAATAAGGATCCGCTTATACACAATCACACCATACTTACGTAAGATCTTAATCATTCATCTATTCGCTTCCAATTTTTTTTGTATTAACCTTCCAATACTTAGAATTCACATTAGACTCTGATTAATTCAAAATCAAGCCACGTCAAA